GCGGGGGCGCGGGCGCGGGCACCCACGCACGCCTGGGTGCCGGGGCCGGCGGCGTGCATACGTATAGATATAGCCACCACGGCCACCCTCACAACGGCTAGGGGCACGTTTGCACCTCACAGCCCCCACACCTGGTCCTCGAGATATGTGCAGGCTTTCGATTGCCTCGGACCCGGTTACAGGAAGCTCGGGGCTCGTAAACCCCACTCCCGTTTCTTTAGAGCAGATAGCCGTGTCACACATGGTTTCTGCCTCCGGTTCGCAGCTGTGCGACGGCAGAAACTGAGGGCTCCGCACAGTGCGTGTCAGCCGCCTCCCAACTCCCAAGGAGCTGCCTCCTTTCTTCTGCAAAAGCAGTACAAACCCTTCCGAGCGATACTTGCACACTCTTCCAGGCCCCGCATTTTGAGACCCTCCTAGGGTTCCCACGGGGCTTTACAGTATTCACCGACGTTGTCACTGCAGGATAGAACGCAAAAACATTAGTTCAAAATTAATGAGATGGTAGTGTCCTACCATACGGAGACTGAGACCCGGAGGTGCTGTGCCTACGTGCATCAGCCTGTCACTCCAGCTCCCAGCTGCAGCATGGTAATGGCTGGAACCTCCCAGAAATGAATGAGGCCCAGACGCGCTTTACAGTTCCCCATGGAAAACAATTCAGGCACAGGCACATGCTTCAAAGCCCCACGCTGAACTGACAAGCGAGAAGGCACCAGCTTTTGTTTCACAGGAAGCACAGTTCCTGCTCAAACTCTGGCTGATGGGAGGCCAATTGAAGACAGGAAAGAAAAGCTGGGTTACGACAGCTGCAATACTACCCAAGGATGGCCAGAACATCATCACATTTCACGTACGTTATCCTACCAGGAAGCACATATTGCCCTGATGAGGCATAGAGATGGGAATGCAGGAATGATGAAAATAGCACCCTCGAAAATTTGGATAAAGGGACTAGGGCTTGGCTCTAGTTCTAATCCCTGTCACTGGCCTGGACAAATCACAGCTCTTTGTTCGTTGTATTATCATTTACAGCTGGTGAGTAATATTTGCATAGCTCAGAGGAGTAGTAACACTATAAAAAAAATCAATATATACAGGACACTATAATGACAGAGATATCTAGATAGACGAGCATGAAATGATTTAAAAATTTATATTTGCAGAGATTGGTATTTAAAAACAAATCCTTGAGAACTTTAAAAAAAAAGGGAGTTAAAGTTGGGCAGACTTTCTTCTCCTCTTCCCCATCACCTTAAGCACAGATCTACCTTGCAAAGCAATACAACTCTGCAGCCTCTTGACCTGAAAAGGGATGACAGGAGGAAGGAATGTTGGAACAAGATTTATTAAAATCAGTTTATAAAATCCTAGGACTAGTTTATAAAGAAGAATGGAGGTCCTGTCCAGTGCTCTGAAGATGGGATAAGACAAGGTCCAAAGATGGGACCAGACAAGGTCCAAAGCCTCAAGTAGATCTTTGGTGGAAGTAACAAGCTCAATGTGACTTTCAGAGTCTCCGGTCAGATTAGAAGATTCAGATCCTTTCTGGAGCCTTGTTTTCCTTTTTAACATTCTTCTGAGCCTATCAACCCATCAGTACTCTGTGGGCCTACCACAAAGAAGTTTTTCTCTGCATCACTGGAAGCACTTAATTTTCATCCCAGACTCTCATAATACTTTCACAAGTATTTGCTTCACCTCAATTAAAAAAAATAACATAGCAAGAGGAAATATTTTGATCACAAAGTAAAACAAGTTAGCAAACCGTGGTCAGGATACTGTAGAACAGATGTTTGGATTAGAAGAGCAAAAAATAACCGATGGATATCCTTGTGGGTGATCTCCCCCTAGATGGCAGAATTCTTTAGATCCAGAAACACTGTCAAAACACTGCAGATAAAATAGTAACCCTGTCCTGCCGTCCCCCCAAGAAACAAACACCCCAGCCCCCAAAATTTGATATGAGCAGCACACCTCAGGCTTAGGGTCTGGAGGTAATTACCAGAAAGGATGCTGCCAGACAGCAGGGCCCATTCACAGAGTATGTACTTGCCATTTCTTCCTGAACTTCAGAGACCTCTCTTCAAGAGCAATCTCTAGTATACAATTGCATGTCCAGTTGCATGCCCTAAAGGTTGTGAATCCAAGAGCAACAGCAATATTCTCTGCAGGGTACTTCTGACTAATTAAATCCTAATTAAAATTCTTTACATAAAGTACTGTTTAAATTAAAAGTGTTACAAGGGAGGGATCTGACAGGGGCGTAGATATAACATCATGGTTACAGTTTAGAAAACGAACAAGTTATTGAATGAAAAACTATGAGCAACCAGTTCTTTACATAAGACTACATGAAGACTTTATGAAAATGCAAATGCAAGGAATTTTTTTTCCCTATAGCAGCAATAACAGTTGTTCACTGTTTAGGTGACATTCTGTAACTACAGGAGAAAAGTTTGGAAATAGTGACTATTCCTACCAATTCTAGCATGAAATGCTAACCAGATGCATCCAAAATAAAGCTGCATCAGTGCTGTCTGTGTAAAGAGCAATGACATTTCCTTCCTCCTTACTCGGTGCTCATGTCTGAACTCCTAAGACCCTTCTAGCAGAACACTTGGCATTTTTTCCACTCCTAAGCTTAAAACGGTTGAAGAAGTCACTCTTGCAGATGGCTTTTACAGCCTCAGCGCATCAGTATGCTGAGACTGCCTCCTGTCTTTCCTCTCCTCCAATACAGTTAAAGCCAAAACATACACGTTTCTGGTATTGCCATATCTTCCCTAGCAATATGCAACAGAATCATGTCATAAAAATTAGCCTTTAAAAGCAAAGCCCTGATTCATAAAAATGTAATCTTTCACACTGCCCCCTTTTTGCAGGACAGCTTCTTCACTGCCTCAGTGCCATGGCCTTTGTTATATGGACTAATCATACTCATTTTAAATTGCTCCTTTTTAACTTTTACCCTCCACCCACAGGTCCTTGGCTTCTCTTCTCATTGGTTATTGCACCCTGGGGCTGCAGAAGAGGTGCCTGCCTGCTTCTGCTTCTTACGGCGTTTGTTCAGGAGGCGGTTGTTGGATGTTTTCAAGTCTTTAATTTTCACCTGATCATAGTCCACCCTCATGGTAGCCAAAGCACTGGTCATCTCCTCCTGAAACCAAGAAAGCAATTTATTGAAAACCCTGAGGCACAGACAACACAGCCACTCCGTATTACTGCCAAGAGACGAATGTAGAGAATGCAACCCTCTGTTACGCTACAACCAGAAATAGCTGAGCCCTTTCTGTTGCACTGGACTATGACTAAAGGCTTCGTTCTACTCACGGACTCATTCAGGAAGAGCTATTCACAAAGCGCGTCACATGCGAGCACGCAGGACCACACTCAGCTGGCCGAAATTCCATCGTGTCCCTGTGCCTGGCACTGCTTCCTGGCTGGCTCTAGGCCTTCAGCAGCTACTGAATCTGGGCCTCCTACAGCAGTCAGAGTGCTGCTTCCCTTGCTCTGTTACCAAAGTAGGTTAGCAGGAACTGCAATCAAGAGTCCACACCAAGTTGTTTAAAAGTATGCACTTCAAATTCACACTCTTCCTTACTTTGAACTAACAATCAAGTGCAGGCAAACCTTAAACTTTTAATATGGTTATGAGCAAAAAGCTGCTTAAGTGAATGTCTAAGCACTTAGTGCAGGAAAGGAAAAAAAAGATTAAATATTATTGGGATGCCAATGGCCCAAGGGAATACTTTTGGAATGCATACAAAGCACAAACATAAAAAGTTCTCAGAAACACGGAGATGAAGAAGGCTAAGTGAAAATATCTTTATGATCCCTTTGGCCTGAGAGGTAAATGTTGCCTAGGTCCTTTTTTTTTTAAAGTCATAACATAGTTTATCAGCTGACACTACAGTGTACAGTGTACTACAAATTACTAAATAAGTAATTTAAATGAAATCAGTAATCAGTATAATGCATTACAGAAAAGTTGCAATTATCAAAATGCCTAGCACTCTAAGTGCAGAAAATTTAGAATTAATTATAAAAACCAGGCCAACCCGATAAAGGCCAGCAGGAAAGATGTAAGGCTTGCAAACGACTTGCAGTCTGCCCTATAGTTTCACTTTGCAGGGAGCATTCAACTGTCAGCAGTAAAAACAGCAGGTGAGACACCTGGCTAGATTAAGGGAAAGACAGATATCTTTTTCCCCCTTTTTTTTTTCCTCCTGAAACTGTCACAGCAAGACCACGCTATGGTTGTTTAATGTTCTTTTCAATACAAGAACAGCTTAGAAAAGTGGAATGCAGCCTAGCCCTCCCACTCTGTTCCCCCACATTTTCATCATATCCTTCACTTCACCATGATAATCTCCAAACTCCCTCATACTGCCCCTTCTCTTTACATACAGTGCTTCATCAGGTAGCATCATTAATACCTTTAATCCTAAACAATTTATTTGTTGATATTCTGCATAGCTGTAAGGCTGTCAGAAGAGGTTCAGTTGGCATTCTTCTTTTACAAGCAGTTATCAAACACACTACCGTTCTAACCAGGACCGAAGCTCCCTTTGGTTAACGTTTTGCACTCAAAATAGACATAATCTCCAAGGGAATAATTATCCAGAGAGAGACAACCCCTCTACTGTCTCATCAGACTTGACTCCAAGAAACTTGAACTGTGATTGACTCACCTTAACTTCATCCCAGTGGTCTTTATCCTCTTGCAGTACTCGGGCAGTATGAAGAGGAGTTGGTGGCACTGCCATTGATCTCTAGGGAAAGGATAAAATATGAAAGGAAATGTTCTGCAAAAACATCCTTATGAAGTGACTGCTTACTCTTCCAGGTGCACGGTGGGCATAAAACGTACCTAAAGTCCTTCAGTGGCCCCCATTATTCATGCTTTCAAGCACCCCACAAGCTAAGACATAGAGCTACCCTGTATGAGGTAGAAAAGGACTACAGATCTCATACAACCACAGTGTCTGAAAAGAACAAAAGGAGGGAGTGCTGAGTTCCTTTACTCTGTTCCCTTCCAGTTCAACCAATAACCCCATGTTGTATATATTTTTATGTCCATTTTGTATTTTAACAGTCATTTCATTACTCACTAATCATCATTTTAAAATTGTTCATTTCACCTTTTTCTTCTAGCATTTGTACTAGGAGAAATATTCTTCTTCACACACGTTATCTGACATTACTATTTCAGGAGATCATAAATGTGCCAAAAAGGGGAAATTACACTATTATTCAGAGTAAGGAATCAGTATCCTGGCACAGTTTAGAAGACAGCGTTTTGCTTGAGGTGCTCTTCCACATAAGACAAAATTGAGATCTATGCTCACCTATCATGAAAGACCTGTAGAGATTTTAAATTAGAATAAGCTACAATTTCTGAAGTACAAAGCACAACTCCTTAGCTAAATTTCAGCAAGGATAATGATATTTTTCCCAGTCCATAACCCAAACCATAACTTCATTTGGATATTCTGTCTTCCTTATGCTTTCTATCCAAATTTGCTGTCACGTGCTGTGGCACTCCAGACCAGAGGCAGATGCATGTGAACAAATTCTAAGGAGATACCTGTATACGCCACTGTAAATTAAGCATTCTATTTGAAGCAGTGCTTATACTCCACTGAGCTCACACAGTACCTCTGTATCAAGTTCTGTAGCGGTTATAGAAGGGGAAGGAGAAACCATAGCTCCTGTATCCTCTAGAAAAGGACCCCAGCTGGTCAAGGTATAGTTTACCAAGTACAAATGGGAAGAGGAAAATGGAAAATAGAAGCATGGACTGGCTTTTGTATTGCCCCTGAGCAGGCACTGAGGGTGCCCTCCTGCTTGCTGTTGAATGAATTTTCCTTACAAGCTGTCTAGAAGGTTATGTGCTCCACCTAAACTGAAAAATTTTGCACATGCCACAATACTTTTGCCATCCACCCAATTAAAAAAGAAAAAGAAAAGAAGAGGAGGAGACACTCAAAAGAACCTCCTCTGTGGCTTGTGAAAGGCATCTCCTCATACACCTTCTCACTTAGGTCTCTGGGAAAAGAAAAGGAAGAAGACAAACATTTACCATATTGGTCCTTCCCTTTCTCTCCCTATGCCTCATGGGAGGCATAATAGGTTCAAGACAAAAAGTGCCAATCTGCCGCTCCTTCCAGAGCGTTCTTCCAGGAGCAGTATTCTAACCTGGCTCTTTGGTGCAGCATAGTCTATAGACTTTCTCTCTAATCTCCTTATTAACTGCTTATATGCATACTTCAAGTAAAAGGCGTGATTGTGGGTGGTAGCTCCCTTAGCTATTAGGCACACATTCCATAAAAGTCATTGCTTGCTGACTCTTGGAACACCTCTTTCTTGGTCTTCAAATAGTTACGTTGTAGGTATTTATTCTGACCAGTGATTACATTTTTATTTATTTTAAAACACTTGGAGAAATTGTCTGGGTTCTGTTCCAATTTTAGAGATTCTTTGTAAACTTAAGATTTCCAGCTTCCACAATTCTAAATGGAGACATCTATCTGCTTCACCGGGATGTTATATAGCTACATTTCAGTGAGTTTCTGAAGGTTCTGAGATGCTCACGCAACAGGCATTATAGAAACGCTGACTATAAGTTATGCCCCTGTTTTTGCTCCTTCCTCTGAGGATCAGCAGAGAGAAAGCACTATGGGAGAAAAGGGCATTCTACAGTACAAGTGATTTCCTTCCTGGTTGATGTTTTTTTGGTCAGTGAGAAACAAGACTGGCCTCCTTTTAGGCACAAATGTGAGAAGTATGTGTGAAGTGTAAGACAGTATTCTGAGTGACATCCGCAGAGCAGAGATGGTACCCTGAAACTTCCTGCACTCAACTGACCCTGATAACACCTGGGATTCTTGTCACCTGTTAGAAATAATAAATATTCTATTATGAAATAGTCTTCTCCCTCTCCCCCCCCCCAAAAAAATTCCCCCCCCCCCCCCCCCCCCCCCCCCCAAAATAGTGTGTAAGGAAAAGAAAACTAAACTAAATCACAGAATGAAACTTGAACTGGGACCATATACTTTGGACAACCTTATCTCTCACAGGGCACTAAGCCAAAATCCTTGCAGCTTCCATAGGCACTTTTGAATCTTTCTGCCAAGGTTGAGAATACCCACTAAGCATGAGACTCCGTACTCATACAACACAGCTATGCACAGTGGTGCTTGAGACCACTAGTTAATAGCTCTCTTTAAATCCTACACTGATGAAGTAAGCATGGCTTATTTTTACTTCTCTAAATGGAGTAACATGTGTGTGTGCTGCAGTCAACAGAGACTGCCTTCTCAGAGAAGGTGCAGTTATATTTGGCTTTTGCTTGCAAGGATGATATTGTGGGCGTCTCTCTCTGTGTGTCCTCTGGTAACACCAGGAAGAATTTTGCTTTTGCAGGCACATGTCCCTTTGTGGAGGGCATACTAAGTTAATTACTTTATTAACAGAAATCATCATCTGTCACTTGCTGTGGTATGTGCAGCTACACTAAGTTCTGCATGTAAGAATTAATATATTGCTCCCTTGTAAAAAACTATACGAAACTCACGTTAATCCAAGGGTGATTCATAAACTGAGAGACTGTCATCCTCTCTGTTGGGTCAGTCTTCAGTAAATGGCGAATCAGCTGCTTGGCTGAAAAACAGGACCAACATGGCATGTTGTAGTCTACTGCTGGGTTCCCAAATAACCTTGAGAATACAAAGACCTGCTGCATGAAGAAAGATAATTTTGCAGAACTCAAAACACCTACCTATTGCTGTTCCATGTTAAGAAGCCATGTACAGCATGGGAGGTTATTATGTTTAAAGAGGCAGAATATGAAAATTTCCAAAAGGAAAGAGGTAGGAAGGAAAGACAAAGGATTAGGGGTTCTGTCTACGCTGCTACGTCACAAGACCACTGTTCCGAGAGCAAAAACTTGAGAAAAGGAGAAACATAGCAACAGAAAGCTGCCTGTCCGAATGATAGCAACATGCCTGGCACTGTGGGCTGAATGAATGCATGAGCTGATGTTTTGAGAAATGACAGAAGACAAAAACTGGCACAGGCCTTGAAAACAAGGACAAAAAACTTCTCTTTGACAACAGAGAGGCCACTAAAAGGATGACGAAGTCAAAGAAATGGATTGCATAAACAGTCTTTGCAGCAGCTTTCTGTGAACATGGATCTGCCAAAGAAACAAGCACTAAGTAACTGATATACGAGACGATGAGAGTTTGGACAAGCGTTTCAGCTATGTGGATTCACAGGAAACACTACATCTAAGGGATGTTATTCAGAAAGACTTAGGCGTAACTTGCTTGGGAGGACCTAGAAAAACTTCAGAATAAGAGTTCTGTTTTAGCAGCACTGAATGTGAGATGACTACAGGCTTGTAAGGAGCTGTCAGAGGAACAGGTTGAGACTTTGATGAGATAGGTTGTAAAGGAGGCTCACAGTAGAGATTACCCAGAGTCTAAAATACACGAGGAAACAGAAGGAAACCAAAGAGCCCTTTAGGATGATTACAGGAAGCTGCTGGGGAATTTAGAGGAAGTCTCCACAAATGATGCAATGAAGGAAGGATTAGAGAGAGAGAGAGAAAGAAAACCAGGACAGAATAGAACAAGGGAGGACAAAAAGAGGCCAATCACAGAAGCTGTCTCATCAGCCTAGAACAGTGCACACAGCTAGCTAACCTAAATAGGTTCAAAGGTAGAGGGCACCTATCTTCACTTAGGCAAACATAAACCCTAAAAGGGAACCCTAAAAATTTTCCAAATGAGTGCTCCTTTAGCATTTTAATAACTGCTGTAATATGAACAAGATCCAAAGCAGACAGAATATTAAGCCAGAGACCCACAAATATATCATTTTTCTTCTTAGTGTGCAGTAGTCTATGCTGCATACCCAACCATGAGATCCGATGAGGGGTTACAATGCCACAGATCACAGCATTAGCCAATGATAATTTGTTACTGCTCAACAGCAGGTAATAACACGGTGTTAACATATTTCTAGCAATATCAAGGGCTCGTTAGAAAAAAGATGTGCTTGGGGTTGCTGACCTTTCTCTATAAGATAATTGGCAGGTGAGACTTATAATACAATCAGAATAACAGGGAAACAGAAGCATCCACTTTCAGGACACTGGTTTGAATACATCTAGGTCACAACTGAACAGCAGCAGTTTTTCAATGACTTACACAACATAAATTGATAAATTGTTGACCTTGATTTAAGAGCAGGCTGGCAAGTTTCCACATTACAAAAACGTAGCATGAAATGTTGCCACCCTTGCTAGCTGTATCACCAAGGAGGGCAACGACTGAACGAATTCTGAAGACAGAGTTTGCCTTTCTTCCGACTCAGCTTGTACTGTAGCTGCCCTGGCGGTCTCCTCTCTGGGGATTAAAGACTTTGTTTGCAGAGAGTTTAATCTGAGTCCTTCACTAGCACTAGCTGGAATTTGAAAGAAAGTTTTCAGCAGTCATTTACTTGCGGTAGCACTTAGGTTGCTGGCTAATGTTTGAGTTCCCAGCCCCTCTCTGTATCATCTTACAAAAAAAATATTTAAATTTCAAAAAGGGAAACAAAAAATAAGACAGGTTTTTAGAAGCAGTCTTATGGAAGCCTTCTCCATTGCAGCACACCGTGCAAAAACTCATCAGACACACTGAGCATTCGGTACCTTCTTCTGATACTTCAGCCCATTCTGGATTGGGAAACCCATATTGCCCCATCCGAATTCTTCTCTTCATTCCTGGAGAAATGGCTTGTCCAGTATTTGAGTAGAATGGAGGAAACCCACACAGGCTATAAGAGAAGTGTACCAAAAAAAAAAAAAAAGGTTATAAGTAGGAAAATCCTTTCATCTCTTAGGAAGTCCCATATAAGTTTATATTTTTCCGTAAGTTACACAATCCTAGTGACTAATTCATTATAAGTGCAAATTTATTAAAAGGGTTACTATTATAGCAATGAAAGGAGGCATAGAGGATTTTTTCTTTTTCTATTCATCTGGCCTCTTTCCAAACACTTACAGAATGTATGTGATGACCCCCAAAGACCACATGTCACATGATTTATCATACTTCTCAGGACCAAGGACTTCTGGGGCTAAGGAAGAGATAAAAACAGAAGTTAACTGTGTACCAGATATTTCCTTTCATCTCTATCACCTTGTAAGAAGCTGCATACTAAAACAACAGATACTGAAGGCATTAAAAAATGCAACTGACTGCTGGCACTGGGTAGTACTTTCTATGACAAGTTCCTAAGCACAACTATGTAGCTTTAAAGATGAGGAATGGAGCTGGAATGCCTAAGTCTTCACCTTAGCATCTCTCTGTTCAAGAGAGTACTAAGACTGCAGAAAAGCAGAAGGAGCTATAGCTAAATGTGTACAGGGAAACACAGCACCAAACGCGACAAGAACTTATGTTCCAGAAATCAGAACAGAAAGGACCTACTAGAGCTGGGGAAAAATTTTGAACAGTACCTAAATGGAATATGTTTGGCTCCAGCAACTACAGTATTCTTCACTAAGTAAAAAAGATGCATGTAGAGGGTTTTTTTTCCTTGGGGCAGATGAACTGGCAGTGAGTTGACTTTATAAGAAAAATGGTTCTCTAAGCATATGCGCAATCATGCTGGTTTACAAAAAGGTGTTGAGAAGGGAAAAGTCAGTCTATTTATATACAAATATAAAGGCATAAAAATATATATACATACATTCCTTAAAATTTCATCACTAATCCTATCTTAAAAAAAAACACACACACAGAAAGAAGCATCAGGAAAACAATACTGCTATCACACATACAACTGTCCGTTACCAAGTATCTTTCATTACAAAAAGCAATAAATCACCTACACAGGAGAAGGGAACTTGCTCATATAAAACATTAAGCCCTTTTTCTTTCAAATAAATTCCAAGTGCTGACAGCACAGGTCATACCATATAGTGAATGTCTATTAAGTCAAAGACCAAAAGGGACATACTCTTAGAGCGCACAAAGGACAGTGTAATGTGGCACTCATTACATAGTTCTCTGTCTTTGGACAAAATGCAGGCAAAATTTCAGCTGTGATTAAGTCACTGTGGACTTTTATTGCCGATTCCTCCATTTGCCAGCTATAACAAGCCTTACAGCTGGGGGATTACTCTCCCTGTTCTCTTTTATTGAATTAGTTAAGCTAAGGGAAGTTTTGCAAGATAATACACAAATGCTATGAAGCTGAGTTCAAATTATGGCTTTTACTGCATCATCCACAGAGGAAACATCAGGATTACTTCAGTGTAATCAGAAGCAACACGCTCTCTCTCCTTTCTTCTCGTTTTCTTCCACCGTTAAGGCAGTTTCCTCTGCAACCAAGGAAGAAAGCAGGAGGACTCAATTTTACTGGAACTGGACTCGGTTTGGGTTGGGTTGAATTCCATTTAAAATTCTGCAGGGTCCCTTTTTGTGTTACCTCCACAGGACAAGATTTACGATCCATTCCTGCAGGTCCACTACAAGGGAGGGATAACAGACTCAGACACAAAAGAAACGCATCTTGGATAACTTACCCACGTAATAAGGAGTGTAACAGGGGGTCTGCAGTGCATTTTGTACTGTGGTTTCTTTGGCAAAGCCAAAATCTGTGAGTTTGAGTACGGTATCCTTCTCTTTAGAGGTGTAAAGCAAGTTTTCGGGCTGAAAGACCACCAAGAAAAAGCATAAACAAGGCAATGAAGAGATGTCTTTCTACTGAACTGTAAAATCAAACCATTCCTGCTTTGTGTGGACCACCATCAGCATCTAGGTCTTCTCCTTTCCCTCACATTCCTCTCATACCATGCAGAAAGTTCCCTCTTAGCTGACCAAGGATCTAAGATCCTTTTCAACATGGTATTTACAACAGTAAATCATAAGACTTCTGCTGGGTCAAACAGGTGTCAAATCTGGCCTCCTGGAGCCTCCCTCTAGTTCCCCGTACTTACTAGGATTATTCTGTCTGATTTACAGCATTTGATCTGACAGCACTCTGTATGGCATTCAAGTAACCGAGTTGAAGGACAAGAGGAATCATCAACCAAGTCCTCTTTGAGGACACCACTCCATCAAAATTAACTAATTTGACAACAGTCCCGTCCTGTCCCCACTCCTTTGTCTCCCGAAATCTGAGCTAATTCCACTCTTGTCCCACACTCCTTCATAATGGCTCTCCAAAACCAGAAGTGGCACAGAGGGAGTACAAACTTTTTCATGCCACGCCCTTTTTCATGCTAGTGTTCAGGGACATGAAGAAGAAGGAAGGACTTGAAAGAGAATAGGATTGAAGCTCTACTAAGCAGTTTGTATCCTTTCTGTGTTAGTTTACTGAGTGTGCATAGTGGGTGTTTGGGGCTAAGCACTTAGTTTCTATCCTGATGCTAGGCAGTGACACAAGAGATTTTAGTCTCTGAACTTTGAAATCATAGCTCCTACATAAAGCTCCCCAAAACATACCCCACAGCAAGACCTAGCAGTGTCAGTTCTCCCTGCAGCTAAACCACAGAAGGATACATAGAAAATTCACAAACTCAAAGCTATGGAATCAATCAGGTGCTTCAGTCTATCATTATGTGACTTGCTCCTTGTTACATTCCATCTCATACCATCATATCTCTAAGCTATGAATGACTTTGAGCAGCTATCCTGTCTTCGTTCCTGCTGTGGACTTTACAGACCACAGATAAAATGTAATATGACAAAGCCTGTCAAACCTCCCCAAAAAGATTTGGGGACAAGCATCAGCTAATACTAGCACTCTTGTTCCATGTGGCAACAATTAAAATCTTCCTACACTTCTAAACTTTTACAAATGCTATTACCTTGGACTGGATGTGTGGAATTGGTATTATACCTCCTATATATGGAGTTTCTCCTATTTCTGAAGCCTTCTTGCCCCCCACCCCCTTTTTTTTTAGGCAAGTATAATTCTGAAAACTAATACCTGGCAAGGACTGCAGATAGAGGTACAGCACCTAGAATAGGTTTATTTCAGGCTAGCTTATTTGCCTGTTAATTAACTGAATTTCAAGTTGGTAATATCTCCATAATTAACCATCTGATTAGCACCTAGATTCTTCCATGTTCCATAATCAACTGCACACATGAATATTTTGACCTTTGATAACTTGGGAGTGAACAGATCTTTTCTCACACTGGCAGAGGAACAGGAACATTTTGACCATCTGATTGTACTCCTATTTCTATCTAAACCATCACTGCCCATTTACTTTTCCATCTTATACTCCTTCCTCCTTGCCCACACACTTTCAGGTCTCACCTTGACATCTCTATGGGCAATGTTCATTGAATGAAGATACTGGATGGCTGTTCCAATGTCTCTCATTATTTCAGAGGCCTCTATAAATACAATTTTAGAGAAAGGTCACATTAACATTCCCACTGTAACTCAGGGACACGCTTGGGAATGCTTATAACTTACAAACAGCTTGCTGAACACAGGGCTAGCATCAAGGCTAGAAAAGCTAAAATTAATCCTAACAGCTGTGTTTTAGTTTTGCAGGCAACCATATCCCTCAATTCCCCAGCTGCTCAGCCCTCCTCCTGAGCAGGCACAGTAACAGATTCCTGATTTTTATGAGCTTGTACATTTGTGTTTTAATTTGCTCATCAAAAAAGCATCAAGAGCAGAGTAGGCAAGCAAGCAACACGCAAGGCTGTGGAGAAAGGACTCCCAGCCAGGACATGTCCTTGGTTGTCCAGGTTAGAAATTTAACTTTCAGCTTCTAGTTCAGGGGCAATGGGAGGGTCTAACAGATTTTCTAAAAATAGAGCAACATCATGAAAGTGTAATTTTAGGACAGCTCTCATCTTCATTCCTCACTTCCTTTAAAATTTTTCCTAATGAGAAATGGACAGGTCTGTTCTGCAAAGCCCAAACTGCTTCCTTTGTAACAATGTTTCTAAAATTTAACATATACCCCAGGAGGAAATTCTAGTGGTTGATGAGCTGCCTTGCAGGAGCAGCATTCTCAAGTTTGGAAGAATTAAGTTACACGGGGGGCTGTTTCAGAGCAGGAAGGAGTGGCATTTCCATTATACCAAGAGAAAATTGTATTACATCTTCATTGAGAGAGAAACAGAATTAGCAACTTTAACATGATTCTCTTTTTTTCTGCACAGGTAGATACCTCAGCTGCAGCAGCGAGAGGTAAAGCAGAAATTATTGTACTGTAACCTGGAAACCTTTTTCCACAAGGCTTGAGATTGAAATTAGGCAATCTCAAGCAGGGACAATTAGAAGGCAGAAACACTCATCTCTCCTTCAGTTAAAGCCTTGTATGACCTCCTCCTTCCTGGCCCAGGCCAAGGACTCTGGCTCCTAATGAAAAGTTGTGGACAATGTATAAATGGTCAGTGAATGCTGGGATTCCAGGGGAAGAGGGTTGATTTATCGCAGAAAGTAAAAGAAGGCGTATTTTTGTCTTTAAACTCCCAAATGGTTTCTGAATAAGTATTTAGAATATTATACAATGGTATTTAATTCAGAAGAGTCATGTTTGTAGCAGAGTAGAATCACTAATGATCATGGAACCAATTTTCCATCTTCAGTCTCGTATTTAAGAGAGGAACAAAGAATGTGGCTGAAAATGCTCATTTTCTCACAAGAGTCTCACATGCCACTTAAAGAATTCATCATAGGGCAGGAAACACAGAGTCAAAAAAAAAAAACTGTAAAAAACTCTGTACCATACTTGTAAAACAGTCATGGTAATTTAGAAGCTCAGGTATAATTTTTCCTCTTCTAATCATTTTGTGAGGATGCCAACAACAAACACTATTATTTTTACCCCAAACAGAAATAAGCTCTTGTCTGTTGTGAATGGGCAAGGAGAACCACGGTCAAGCACATCTGTGGTACTCTAAAAATAACAAATAGCAATGACAATAAAAATGACAAGGTTACTCTATTGCAAGCTCTGTCACTGACTCATAGCAGGCCCTTAAAAATGCATATAGTCCTTATTATAGATGAGCAGGCTTGTTTACAGTGTGGCTAATAACACTTCCTTTCGAGCAGTGCTTTAAAACCCTTGAATAAGAGATGTGCCATCAGATGTGATTTGTTTATTATATTCACCACCTCACAGTATAGCTCTTCACAGTGATGCTGCTTGAGGGACAGCCAGAAAAGAAATCACAGTAGGGCTGTGCACATAACATTAGAGGTGGTCTGGCAGAAGACCAGGGACTAGAACTGCAGAGGCTGTGATGGTTCAGAAATGAAGCAACTGAGCAGATCTGTATGAGGAACTTTCCTCTAAACCTTCCACGCTGTGCCTGAACTTCGCCAATTCTGATAATTCCTCATCTTCAGGAACCTTTAAAGGTAACTAATCACCATAATTAATTACCAATAATTTAATGGAGAGTCAGATAGAAAGTTAAAAAAAGAAAACAAAATTACAAAGCAAAACCAAACCAAAGGAAAAAATCCTGTAAGAGAACCAAGCAAGGGAACAGAGAAAGAAAGAAGCAGTCTCACAAACTTTAATATTCAACTTTTGATTTTTCACCTCTCTCTGTGAAAGCCTGGTCTCCTCTCTCCTGGATCCTGCTAAACAGCTCTCCTCCCTCCATGCTGAAACAAAGAACACATAGAAAATAAACTTAAGATGAGCAGAAAACACCAAATTAGCGCTGGACTGTGCATCTGTATAATTGCACAGAACCATTGCAAGCACGGAGTAGAAAAGCTTACAGCCTGCCTCCTATCCTAATGCTTCCTAAACATCATACTCCCTTTGAATCAATGCACAAAGCCATTCAGATATGGAATAAATACAAAAGGAAACAAGATCAAGGGTTTTGACGCTCGCAGTTTAATATACACTGACACAAGGAACATGACACACGTAGCTGGGAGGTCAGATATGCTGGCACAGGGAGGCTGATGGTAAGCCTGTTTTTTCTAAGGGTGGAGATGAAGAAAAAAGAAAGAAGAAAACAGACAACCTGAAAAAGATTATTAATTTGTCTCCAAGGAAGAAGACACCATAACTGTGGAATTACAGATCACAGAGAGAGTAGGAAAAGTTATAGTCAAAATAATGGCAAAAAGATTCTGTCAGATCACAGGACTTGCATTTGAAGCTGGAAGCCAACCACAATCAAAGTTCATCATATTTGAGAGACACGTGTCTCAATACTGTATTAATTACAGTAAATGCTTTCATGGAGAACAACTTTCATGGGGTACAAAGAAAAGTTATTTTATGGTTAAGATTTCTCATTCCTCCATCATGCAAATTGGCTGGTACAGCTACACATTTTCCTACCAGTTATACAAAGACAACAAAAAGTTTGTTGTGCAAACAAAAACTGTGCTGCTGAGAGAGGGCACATATCTTACATTTAAGCTAATATATCCCCCTCCTCCCTCTGCCCCCTCAAAGAGCAACGCTTGGCAGGGGCTGCTGCTGGTCCATACCATTCCATGACAATGAGGAGGCATCTCTTCCCATGATGTATGTTCTCATAAACGTCCAGGACGTGCACAATGTGAGGACACCCTGATGCCCGCCAATGATATTCTACTTCCTGACGGGCTTTTGGGTTGTCATACAGGAGCTGTAAAGAAACAGAAGAAAGCAATGCCATCAGTCAGCATCATTCTGCTTTAATTTGGTACCTATGTGCAACTTTGAGCTTAAAGAGGGTGGCAGGGCTACATCTAGCTCTTTTTCCAGCTAAAGGATGCCAGTCCATCACAGGGTTTTTACAATCTCTGGACTGCCCAGCTTCCTAGATTGAGAAATACAGAAACAGTAACTGGTCCCTTGGAAGTGGAGGGACCTTGAGCAGCAGCAAGATGTTTTGAGGCTATGACAGACCTACCTCACCCACCCCTGAAAGGGACTCTTCAGTTTTTCCCTAACTTGTTTGCAGTACTTGCACTGCAACCAAAAATAGCAGAAGGTGCTCTGTCAAGGGAACTCTTGCAAGGAAACTAGAGACCTCATGCAGAACCTGTGCAGGCTCTGGCCAGGCAGAGATGGATCACAACGCCTCCTACTTGCTGGATGGAGCAGGGGCTTATTCAGCAAATAGGAAAGGTGAGTGTGGCATGATTGCAAATGGGGAAGATAAGTTCAGAAGGAAGGCAGGGCACTGCTCCTATGCCTTCACTTTACAGATTGCAAGGCCCATAAACACATGACTGAGCACCCTGCAAAAATCTCATCTGCCTTCTGATTGAAAAAATGTGTCAGGAGCTGCGGTCTCAAGACACGACCACTCAGATCAAGGAAAAATTGCCCTAAGCTAGGGAATTTTACCGTGTCTTCAGGGTAAAAATTAATTTCTATCTGGTGATTTCCTCGTAGAACACTGTTTTCTTATGATCAATTGCCCTTAGTTACCTCCCAGCTTTTACCTTAAGGATCTCTCTCAGGACATTTGCATTCAATGCACTACAAAAACTAAGCACACTCATGTGCACCTAAGGGCTAAAGCATTAGCAGTTAATAGCACTAGGAGGTTGCATGAGATCCTCTTCCTAAGAAAAGCATCTATTAGCCTGGAAGCTCTTACTCAGTTCCCTCTGCTAGGAACAACCCCGCACCCCAGCTGCTGTAGGGACTTTAAGGTGCAGTACAAACCCTTAAGCTTCCGTGGGATTTAAAACAATATGGACTTTCACACAGACTCTGACTATCAAGTAAACTTCTGACACCATCAGGGTTGCTATCTGGACGCTTGAACAACTTTCTCTATCACATGCAAGGCTAGTTTATTTTAAGGTGCTAAGCCCTTCAGAATGCAGGTTAGAGATTAACTTTCCTTACCCTGGAACTTTGTGCTCACAAAACTTGTCCCTTCCCATTTAAAGAACTGTAACTAGCTCTTGTGCAACATGGGCACATTGCTGAATCATGCCTTTTCTTCTCCTTCCGTCCTGTCTCACGTATCTAGACACCGTTAACATTTCGTGACTTTCTCTTTACTGCACGTTTATATGGTTCCTACACAATAAGGCTGTAAGCTAAGTTTGTAATGCTGGAGAAGCCAGCTGATACTACACAGAGCATGATCAAATGCAGCAAAAAAGAAAAATAAGAGTGACGACCTTTGATCTCTCCCAGAGCCTTAGAAAATGACTGCGGCAACTGCGGGGGAACTGTTTTCAAATAGGAAAACATAACGTATCACTGCTGCACTATTAAGCTTTAGCCTGAAGCTCATCTCACTCATGTTTGCTCTCAGGTCCCAGTCAAAACACTACTGCCTGATAATTGCTGAAAACAAGTATTAACGTGTATCCTGTCATTAGGGACCTATGAATCAGCCCAGGAAAATAAGATTTCTTTTCCATTCGATTGCCAAGCTTCCTAAGGAACAGTGCATGAGTGCTGGTTACAGATACCTCTTTGAATATAGGGAGACGTGACTTAAAGGTCACAGGAAGTGGCTTTTTTTTTTTAATTGACTTCAATATAGACAATCTGTATCACTGGGAAAAGAGTTTACACTCCTTTGCTGCTTCAACACCCCTTTCAGCAAGGCAGGCACAATAACATGTCAGCCTTTTAATGAAATGTGAAGGCATTAGACAGAATGCAAGAGCCTTCTTGGGCTCCCTCAGCTCCGCTCCAAGGACGTTCCAGCCGGATGACAAATTTTCAGCGGTGCAAGGTGCTGAACACAGCAATCTTTCTTTGCAGAGTTCTGTGCCCTCACAACCAACCTACATCTTCCACGATGGTCCTTCTGCACCCTGAGCACACCCTTTTTAGATAGCTAACTATCCTTCTCTTCCTTCCTGCTCCAGCCTGGATATGGCCAGATTTCCAACACAAATAACTACCTAAAAAAGAGATGGTCCCAGTTTGGACAAAAAGCGCACTAGTGAGTCCAAGTGCAGTTGCTTTACTTCTTTCAGCCATGAGTCCATTCAGCCCTTTTTCCTTCACCGCTACTATGTTCTAGCTCAGCAGGACTGTCTATCAGCATTTTCCCCTTGCCTTTCCGAGTTTGGGCAGCTGCCTAAAGGTGTCATTATTCATTAAACTACATGTGCAACAAAGAAACCCAAACACCCTCAGGACTAACCAGGCCATTTAGAAGAGTTTTATGAGGCTTACAGCTTGGATATTACTGAATTAGTGCCATTTCTGAGCAGGACATTCAAAAACCTTCACACTTTTCCTGTGCTGCTACCCAGACGTAACAATTATCTTTACTAATGTTAACTGCACTAGAAGCTGTGTATCTTGTGCTTGCACAGTGTGCAGAGATGTTATTTTTGATGTCTCTACTGGGTGCTTATAAAAATTATTCACAGAATTGAACTCTCACTCGCAGCTTTAATAAGGCATTTCGATATACAAGGATGCCGCAGTCCCGTCTTTCTCCTTCCTTGCCAGCAAGTGTCATACTCTCCCTAGTGCCAAACTTGACTATACCCATGTCAAGATGACACCTGGAAAGGCAGAGGAAAGGAAATGCAAAAATAAAAATCAGACACAGAGAAATGACATAAACCAAACAACATCTGATATATCAATCCACTCAACTTTTGAGTTTCTCCCACTGAGCCTTAAAAATACATTAAATCGCTGGCTTAAGTCTAAAATCAGAAGCCATAAATATAGCTTTTAAGAGGTTGCAGACATTTGTGCAATGAAAGCAAAGCAGGGTTAAAGGCACCAATTTCTACAAAATTTAGGCTGTAATTTAGAAACACAGGCTGAAATTCTAGCCACTATGGTTAAGTTTAACAGACTTCTAAAAACATAAACTGACATACTGCCGCCTTCCTGAGCCTGAGGAGAGACTACACTGGGCTTCTATTACAGAATCACACAGACCAGATGCACAGTGCCCTTAGGATGACAGGAGGGGATGCGCATGTGCGTGGAGGGGCAATCCAGTCGGAGCAGGAGGTGTGCAGTAGAAAATGGTATTTTTGCTGAAGCTCCGCATTTCTGAACCACTGCCTAAGAGAAGCAGATGAAGCAAGTACTAACAGTTATTCACAGGAAGATCACCAAAACCAGAGGCTGATAGAAGGCAAGAAAATGAGAGCTCTAAGCTCTACTGATTCGTGCGACTTTCCTTAGTATCTGAAAAAGCTGGAGAGGAAAAGACTGTGTTCAGCCACTACGTGGGGTATGTTCAGCCTGTCCTGGGGAACAGTGGGGCAGATACTGGCCGATACTCCAGCGTGCCCTACTACTCCAGCATGCCTGGAGATGGAGGGGAGCCTTAACTCTTTACATTCTGGGGTGAAGGCCTGTCTCAGGTTAGCAAGGGCCTACAAAAAAAATATAGCTCTGTGAAGTTTCTTCTCATGCAGAATTTCTGATGGGGGGGGGGGAAAGGAGGCTGAAAAGTTGTGCAATATCTACTAATTGCTTTTCCATTGATTTAGTGTTGTGTAAGGCAGGAAGAATAGCAGGAGTCCTCATACCTTAGTGTCTGATCTATACAGGAAATAACCTCCTAAGAACTCCAGGGAGCAGCAAGTGATTTTCTAGACTTCTCTGAAATTGTGACCACAGAGAGAGAAGGTATCCACAGGCACAGGTATGAAATAGGCTGAGGACAAGAAGCCCTGACTTCTTTGTGACTTTCTCTTTAATATACAATAGTAGATTCCACGGAGGAGATTTTACTATTGCACCTGATATCTGTCCATTACACAGCTGATTAAGGCCTCTGCCCTCACATCTGCTTTTGCATTTATTTTTAAACTTCCTCAGTCTCTCATAATTCCAAAGTGTTGTGGTCCTTGCATTAGACCTGTCACAGGCTCCGTTACCATCCGCTGTAGGTGCCATGCAAGAGCAGCACGTGACCTTGCAAGCATCTTTTACTCACACGCAGAATCTAGACGCTCCTTCAATAGATGATTAATTTTATAACCTCTGCATTGTTCATTTTCTTCACAGCAAAGCTCTATTAGTAATAGAAATGGGACCAGAAGAAACTTTCGGTTCTACTGGTCCTCAGTGGGGAATATGGATAGATCTACACATCTAAAAATAGCTTTATTTATTTTCCTAGTAGGGTAAAGAAAGTCTCTGCTCAGGCATAAACGGGAAAATATCTACTTCTTTTGCTTTCTTTCCTCTTTGTATGCAACTGTCATAAAAAATGTTGACTCCTACAAATAAGCCTTGAAATCCAATTCAGGCTGATGCACACAAACACTATTTGCTGCAGAAATCCTTTCAGCCATTCTTTATTCAAGAGGGTTGATGGCAAAAGGAGGTTTGTATAATGTTCCATTCTGCCATCTTCTCCCTCCCCTACCAAAAAAAAAAAAAAAAAACTCTGCAGCTGGGAGAAAAGAAACCCCAAACGGAAACACACCAAAACACTGAGAAAAACTGTTACATGATATTCTAATTCCCTGGAGCAGCTATCGCTGTGGATTGGGACGTTTTGTCTTTTATTACATCCTGATTATTTACACTGCCTCTATTAACTCACACCAGGCTGTCCTAATGCATAACGAATGTGAATATGCTAGTGAGTCCGCTCACACAACCAGAAAAGGAAAAAGAAGCATATTCAATCTGTTGGGACTTCGAACAAGATAACTATCAGGTTTAAGTGAAGGCAAG